CATGAGCAGAAACAGCACTGGCCATAGTTAAAGGTAATTCATAACTCCATTCTGGACACCACATTTGGACCAACAAACCAGAGATGCAAGGTGAAGGAAGCTTGTGTCAACCACACCCGGGACTCTACACACTCGAAAAATAATTAAGATGCACAGCAGTGATGGGTGATACGGGATGTTTTGATTCGATTATAGTTCAAATTCTTCTGACACATTGCGCTCCGTATTGCATTACGTCCCGAATTATTCCTGCTTGTGAGCATTAAGGGTGTATTTTAAAATGGTGTTTTAAAAAGTGGACAATCAATTATTTGTGCTCAAGATAAAGATGGGACGTGACCGTTTGTTGTGATAGTTGCCGATGCATCAGTCAAAATTCCAACATGATATGTACTCTCTTGCTCTCTCTCTCTCTCTCTGTTTCTTTTTGTATGCATTTATATCCTGCACTGTAGCTCAATGTAAGAACTCAATCGACGGACAGTGGTACTGCTTTGACGATAGTGACGTTAATGCCATATCCGAAGATGAGGTTTGCAAGAACACCGCTTATATCCTCTTCTATCAAAGAAGAGCCACGATCCCTTCATGGTCTGCAAACAGCTCTGTGGGAGGTAATTTTTTTATTTGTTTTCCAGTTCTTTTGAGCAGTACACACGTTTTCCATATTCTCTGTGTTTGGGCGTTGTTTTTGGTTAACGATGTTCAGCTACCTTTTGTTTGGTGACCCCCCAGGATCCACTAGTTCATCTTTGTGTGAGCATTGGGTAAGTCGGCTGATGGGCAGCCGTCCACCCAGCCAGGCCTCATCTGGTTCCTCCAGACGCACTTCCCTGGCGTCCCTCTCGGAGTCTGCTGAGTTCGCTGGTGAACGGAGCGAGGATGATGGTGAGCAACTCTATATGTGTAATATATATAGTATATATATATGTGGAAAATACAAAAGTCAGTATTACTGTCGGGAATTCTTAGTCTTAAAAGCTAAGATGGAAAATATAAAATAAAACATATTTATACACACACATAAACGCACACACTTTCTGTATGTATATATATATAGAAAGAGAGTATATATATACTCTCTGTATATATATAGAGAGAGTATATATATATACTCTATATATATATAGAGAGAGTATATATATACTCTATATATATATATATATATAGAGAGAGTATATATACTCTCTCTATATATAGAGAGAGTATATATATATATATATATATATACTCTATATATATATATAGAGAGAGTGTATATATATTCTCTCTCTATATATATATAGAGAGAGTATATATATATATATACTCTATATAGAGTAGAGAGTGTATATTTTGACCAGTGTATATACCATACTTTCTAGATTATAAAATTGCTCCTGAGTAGGAGTCGCAGCAGTGCCCTCTAGCGGCTGTCAGTGTGAAAATAACATACATGTACATTTTCAGTGGTACAGGAGAAGCAGATACTGATAGAGTGCCCTCTAGAAAAAAAAAAGCGAAATAATATATTTTAATGTGTAAGTCATACCTGAGTATAGGTCGCAAACCCAGCCAAAGGATGAAAAAAAGTGCAGCTTATAGTTTGGAAAATACGGTACATATACATATACATACATACTGTATATATATATATGCATATATGCATTTATATGTTTATTTTGTCTTTATATATATTTTTATGTATACTGTATATTTGTAGTAGGTAAAAAAAAGTCTGATTTGTTCAGCAGTCACAGCATTTTGTGTCTGTTAATGAAGTAATTTATATATATTTTTTATGTTTTTCAACAATGCAGGGTTATCAAGTCGTCCAGCGGTGAGAGGAATGCAACGACAAACATTTTCAACCAGGTCTACCATAGCCAGTCCATTGGTGCTCAGTGAAAATGGTACTAAACCATCCTGGTCTGCGAAACTCCAACTCCATTCCAATTCACCTTCACGTTTCTCTCTGGAATCCCATTCTTCCTCACCAACACTGGAGAAAATAGGGGAGGTGGTTGATACCACACTGTCAACCACCTGCTTTACTTCCTCACCAAAACTGTCAGGCAACAAGTTGGCCTTCACAGCTTTGGTAAGTAATCCTGAATGTAAAAGGCAAGTTGAACCATTTCATTCTAAAACTGCGACCCAGGCAGCATCCAGGGGAACTACCCAGACAGGTGATAATAATAATGTAGTTGCTGCTGCTGCTGCTGCTGCTGCTGATCAGACCAGTCCTCGACATGGGGCCGTGTCAAAGGAGCTAAAACAAAGAAACGGGGCTACAGAGAGCAATAGTGTTAAAAGAACATCAGCAAAGAGTGGGTTAGAAATAGAAAGAAGTCCCAAGAAGCATCCCGCAACTTCTTCAACATCATCCAGCTCTCTCTCTCCTGCATCCCCAGCCATGGGTAAGTGTAGGCTGCAGACCAAGACTGCTACAATATCAGCATCCTCCCCAAAGATTAGAAGCGGTGGACATCTGAAAACTGGCAAGACTGTGTCCTCAAGAGCCACACCTTCCTGCAAGAAAGGGTCATCTCAAACCCAGGAGGTTTCTCGAGCTGACTCTACCCAACAGAGGCAAAGCAGTTCTCAAGGATTACCAAGCAAGAAAACATCACCGAGACCTGTTGGTGAGAAAACCTCAGCCTCTGGACGTTCTCGAGGATTGGACAGGAGTGCCAGTCGGGAATCCTCGCGAATCGATTTGTCAGAAAAAAGGATTAGCCCTGGGGTGCCGTCTTCTCGGTTAGCTGTCGCTAATAGAAAAGAGATCAGGCAAAGTAGGGCTGTTGAGTACAAGGAAGCGGGCCAGAACTCAAGCAGTACCTCTTCCAGTACAAGTCTGCGATCGTCGAGTGTCGTTGTTTCCTCGGCCGCAGTGCAACCATCGAGGGGGCCTCGTAGGAACAGTAAGACCGAGGAAAAAAGTTTGTCATTCTTTAAAACTGCCCTAAGACCCAAAGAGATTCGAAAGTCAGCTGACGTTGGAAAATCAGGGATAGGAGAAGCTTCTGTAAACCCCGGGGATTTTGCTGAAGATGCATTTAAAGAGGGAATCCAAAACGGAGGCAGCAGGACATGCCAAAGTGCAGCATCAGAGAGTCAAACGAATGTCATTCCCATTGACAAAGACTCCTCCAAGGCATCTTCTGTGGCCAAGTCCAAGCCCTCCGGAGCAGAAACCTCAAGCCAGATCCCTTCAAATGCAAAAGACCTTTCGAAAAAGGAACCTGGAAAAAAAGCATTGCCCTCCAGGAAAATACCTATTAACTCTGCTAAAACTAGCCATAGGTCCAAATGATGCTATTTTAACGATTTCCCAAGTGCAGCTCTGAGGTGTTTGATCTTTAGACTAGACATAGTCAGTGTTTGACCAATATCTCTGAAACACCTCTAGTCTTTCAGCGCTGACTGAATAGTAGCTGCCGCATTAAACAATTCCCACTCACAACGTTAGTTATTTATCTACGAATGGGTTAATAACAAAGCACTTTCTATGGATTTCAAATTTTTGAGGAACATCATACTGTAATGTAAATAAGCATGAACATGTATCGAAGTGTACGGCCTCAGTCGGTGTGTAGCATAGTGCAGGTGGAATAAGTACGTTTCTGTAGAGGATGAAACAAAAAAAAAAAGGAACTTTGCACAAAATGAAATGCAAATTCAATGATGGAGAAAACCTTTGGAGGGATGGGAAAGTGTGGACAACCAAGTCACCAAAGTTTAGTCATAGTTTAGTGGCAGTTTTGACTCAAGAATGCAGTTAAACATTTCCAAATGATTTCGTTTTGTTTCTGTCTGATTTTTTTGTATGTCAACAACAAACACCAGTGCCTAATACAAATATAAATATCGGTTCTACTCCTGCAGGTGCGGGTTAAGTAATCAGTTGTGACATTGACGTTGCACGAAAAAAAAAAAAAAACAACTTTTAGGTCAAACGAAATTATAGGTATAAGTGTAAAATATTTTGACAAAATAAAACCTTTTGCAAGATCACTTTGTAAACCATGATCTTCAAACCACGATCAGTAGGCAGGCATGGAAGAAATCTGCAGATGGAGTAGAAACGTTTGGAGGGAGATATAAAGTGTTGTTGACATACTGTAAGATATGTAAGGTGACAAGAAAAGGTTGAAAGGAGATTTTCCATTACCGTGTTTTCTGGACTATAAGTCGCTCCGGAGTATAAGTCGCACCAGTGCCCTCTAGCGGCTGTCGGTGTGAAACTAACGAACATGGTACATTTTCAGTGGTACAGGAGTAGTAGAAGCCTAGAGTGTCCTATATATATATATATATTTTTAAAAAATGCACCTGAATATAAGTTGCAAACCCAGCCAAAGGATGAAAAAAGTGCGAGTCTGGAAAATATGGTAATTGTTCCCTTCACCGATTCTTACATCCTACATCGTGATTCTTACATGCTGACTTTTGAAAATATGGAATGCTGTTTACATACTATACTCTCCTTCGTGTAATGTTCGTGCAAGAGCCTTTAAAAGATAAAGAATCGATGGGGCAGAGAACGCTGGGACACGGCACGTGTTGTTACATTTCCTAGAGACTTTTGGTAACCATAACCTTTTTCCAAATGTTTGGGCTCTAATTTGCAGTTCTACGGCTTAGCCCCGAGACGAACACACACGACTGCCTTTAGGCTGCTGATTCGTAAGCTTAGGCCTGAGTTATACTACGAGCGTTAGCAGAAATCTTCTATGCATTTTGACATGTGCACAGCTCCGTACGTGGCGTAGTGAGGTGCTAGGATGGACAGATGGAAGTGCTGGTTGGCGTCACCAACCACGTAACCTCATGAAAGAGTGGTGTCAGGAACTGCCCCAGCCTACCATTAGGAAGTGCTGAATGTGTGCAAAACGAACAAAATGGTTATAAGAGTCGGCGTGGTTGAACGCTATTTGGTTGATAATGACTTTCCTGCCATTTGAAAAGTGTTCTTTGTATTGTAATTTCCGGACTATAAGCCGCTACTTTTTTCACACGGTTTGGACCCTAGGGCTTAAACAATGATGCTAGGCTAATTTATGGATTTTTACGGGCTAACGAAGTTCATACCGCTAGCGATCATTGAGTTTTCTGGTAGGCTACTGTGTGTTATACTAGTAGCGTATGTCTGTCATGTGAATGCCTGTGTACTTATATGTGCATGGGGCACACAAGAGAGAGAACGGTAGCTAAAGTTGAGCGTAGCTTGAGCCCTGTCATGTTGAAGCGTCAGTTGGTTATAGAGGAGCTGTTAAAACTCTGTTTATGTTCTGTTGTGGTCGGAGTGTCTGATAATAAAGAGCCCAACTTCCCTGTTTCTGTTTAACTGCACAAAGTGAAGGGAGTTAGCCCCAGAGCTAATGTTAGCTTCGGCCCTGGAGCAGATCACTAAGTCTCCCCTCTGCATTCCAACTACAGTCGGGGCTCCGAAGCAGGAAAGAGCTAACGTGTAACCAAAAAAAAATCTTTCAGTGTAACATCTGAACATACATTTAAATATATATGTGCAATTTATTTTCTTTTTAGCGGGTGCGGCTTATATTCAGGTGCGCTCAGTAGTCTGGAAATGACGGTAAATAAAGTCTCTGAGAAGTATAACTTGGGCCTAAACTTGCAATAATCATACAACATGCAGGGATCAGCATCTTCAGACTGCCAGACATTACAGACATTCCTCTACGATAAATACAGGGTTAAAGTACAAAACTAATTACAGTGCACAAGGAGAGCATATTTAAGAAAAAAAAAAGAAAAAATCAAAAATCAAATGTTTGCCTTCTTTCACTGTCTTGTACGTAGAGCACTGTTATGTGTTTGCATTATTCCATCCTAGGTCTTTTATATGTGACCATAGACTGTAAACAAGTTGGACATAGTCTCGGTGCCGTTATCCACCAAATGGAGAATCTGCTGACTCCAAAAAGACATTTTCTTACTGGGTTTATAAAATCGGTGAATCATTTCACGGAGCACGTCTTGAGCTCAGTTGCTTTTTTAATAGAAAGAAGGAAGTCCCTGTCAATTGAAGAGACAAATAACAGTAGCAACTCACAATCCACATAACAATACAATACAAATAATACAGCATAAGTATGGATTGTAGAAGCCTAAAAATATTATTTTTAAATGAAAAAAAAAATCTATTTGTTATTTTGTTGTTTTTTTTTTGTATTTTGTGTTGTGTAACGCAGCTATCAATGACTTAAATAAATATTGCGTTTTCTAAAACGTACGCTATCTGATCCGCAGTCCTACAATCGTTTAAATTCTCCTTTACATTTGGACACTTTCACTCCCGTGATGCTTTTCTTGGTTAGTCAAGCGGGTCGCCTTTGCGATGATTGGTTAAAACGTATTTTTTATATGATTTTTTTTTTTTTTAGATAACCGATTTTTTAGATTTTTTCGAACCCTACAGGAGCTCGGCAATCACTTTTAAACGTCATTTTCTACTCAGCCCTCGCAAAAGGTTAGTTATGTTGCGGGTTTGTTTCAAATACTTGTGTTTCAATAACTTAACGCGACTGCCAGACTACATCCATTTCTTAAATACAGTCTATGTGTGAAGACGCGGCCCGTGAAACCAGATGTGAATGCTTTGAGATAGTGATAATATGAAGGAGCTTCATTTGAAGAAAAAAAAAAAAAAAAAAAAAGTTTTTTCGCATGATGCATGCCCTTAACTATGCAAAGGAATTATTGCATAAGCCCACACTTGGCATGTAGAAATGCTACGTCTTGGGTCTGTATTGCTGTATTTCTATCTTCTTTTTTTTTTTTTTTTTTTTTTTAACAAACGCTTGCATCAGAGAGCATGTGCAGGCATATTGTATTCAAGGCTTGGTTTGCACATTTCTTCAAATGTAACATTTCATATAACTATTGTGTAGTTTTCTTGCGTTATATAACACAAAGAAAATCTCCTCACTTGCAAACGAACGGCTTCTCTGTTGTTCTGCCAAAGAGAAACAAGAACTTTTTTTTTCCTGTATTTTAATTGTCTACTGGTGCAAAAGATGTTTTTATTTTGAAAAGTGACCACATCTTTTTTTTTCCCCCACATTTTTCACACTTGACAAATACAATTCTCTACCGTGCTTTTTTAAAAACGGCAGACACAGGACAACCTGAAATATGAAAAGTTGCATGCACTTTCCTGTTGTTTTCATGAGAAAATTAAATACACTTAATTTTGTTGTGTTTTTTTTTTTTTTGTTTGTTTTTTTGTTTTTTTTGCAATGCACCACCATGACTGGTCTGTTACATAGACCTAGACTCTGGTGCAAATACAGGTTGGGGCTTTTCTGCTCAATTGTGTTTATATGTCTTCATATTTTTAAACCAAAACAAATGATTTATGTGGAAAAACGAAAACTGTCCATTGATAAAGTTCTCAATAAAGGTTAAAGTAGCTCTGTTTGGAAGAAATACTGGAAATACTAATGGAAGAAAAACTGTGACAACCCTTGTCCTGCAAAAAAATAATGTGCAATTTGTTTTCATAAAAGGAGAGTTTAAGTATTTCTGCTTTTAAATGATAACGTTTAAATCTTTCACAAATGTCTCAGATATGAAATATATTTATTTACCTTGAACTGGTTTTTGTATGTTAGCCCAACTTTTAATTTTAGAGTTTAGAATTTAGTTTAGGTTTAGAGTTGTTTTTGTTGTTTTTTTAAAGATTTTTTGTATGTTAGCCCAACTTTTAATTTAAAGTTTAGAGGTTTTTTTTTAAGATGAATTGATCAAATAATTTCCGTTTGCATGAGACAGCCATTGTTTGTTTTTTTTTGTTTTGTTTTGTTTTTGTTTTATAAATTGCCAACTATCATATAGTTATTTTTCAGTATTTATAAGACAGCAGTGGCTCTGAGTTTGAGGTGGAGATCAGAGGGACAGTTAAGGTGGAGACAGTTAAGGTGGACATGTTGATGACAGTGAATACAGATTGTTGGAACAGAATATACAAACTTTCAGTAACAGTTGTCAGTGACAGTTTAATTGACTGTTTTAAGTGACAGTACTTGACATTTACTTGGACAGAGTCATTGTCACAAGACATTTAACATTCAACCAACATCATCATTCGAGCAGCCGGATTTGGAATGTTCAAGAACCTAATGATGCCGAATAACTTTTAATGCCTTTCGTGGGTAGAAACTGTGGTCCGAAAAAAATCCAACGTATTGCATACAAACGTCTGTCACTCACTCACTCACTGTTTTTATTTATTTATATATTTTTCTGGTCCGAAAAAAATCCAACGTATTGCATACAAACGTCTGTCACTCACTCACTCACTGTTTTTATTTATTTATATATTTTTCTTATACGTTGTTGTTTTTGTTTTTTTTACATAAAGTGTATTCGACTTTGTAGCATTGATTTTACAATGCAGTAGTATTTCAACAATGTCATGAAATTACGCCTAATTCTTAACAGTTCAACAAAAATAATCATACCGTTATTTTCCATTCGGTGGTGCTCTTGCAATCAACAATAAAGAAGTGTATTAATTGTTTGCCTTTGTTTATTACTTTATTTGGTTATTTAAAAAAGAAAAAATCTTTATCTGTTTATGTCAAATAAACATAAATGAAATGTAATTTCTGTCTTTTTTATTAGGGATGTTCGAGCGTTTATTAATACCTGCAATTCACTCGTTTTCTCACAAGATGGCACTCGAAGGTTATGCTTTCCTTTCCAGCAAGCCGGACATATGTACTCAATAATAAAGCTACAGGACAACTCCAACACAAAACACACACAGACACACACACACAGGGAGAGAGAGAGAGGTCACTGAATATTAATGCCAAACAATGCAATTATTATATTGTATTGTCTATTTCACAAAAGTACACACACACACAGAGATAAACATGCTTTGTCTTAAGGCCAAAAAACGAGTTCTTGCAGACAGGAAGTGACGTCACTTCTTTTCTCCAAGGAGCTGGAGGCAGTTGCTAAGATACTGTGACACTCGTTTTTTTTACCATGTATTTCTTTCTTTTCTTTTTTTTTTTGCTTTCTCCCTACCACACACAGCAAACACACGGGTGTCACCGGTAATACCTCGATACCACGTGTGTTTTCGCGCTGATGAAAATAAGTCAATCAACCCACCAACATTTTACATCTCACGTATGCTTTCCCAGCCTGACATCCCGCTCCCCCCCTTGTGGCCACAAAAGGGATCACTGTAGTTCATTCCCCTACATCAGTGGTTTAATTATTCATTATAATTATTATTAATTATTTTCTGACAAGAAATGTTTTCACCCCCGCCCCCCCCCCTCCTGCCC